ATGCCCGTGACAGCGTTTACCTTAAGAAGTTAGACTGGGATCCATTCTGACATTGCTCTGGGACTGTCCCAACTTGAGAAAAAGCTGTGTCAGCATTTTCAACGCATTGAAATTAAAGGGAAAAGAAGTCGGAAAGTGCCGGTTCTTTTGACTCCTGAAATGATTGCTTCGATGGAGGTGCTGGTGGAGAACAGAAGGGCCTGTTCCATCTCTGACCATAACCCATACTTCTTCTCCCGCCCGGGCGCAGACACCCACATCAGGGGATCAGACTCCCTACGGCAGGTAGCCAAAGAATGTGGTGCGGTGCATCCAGAGATGCTATCCTCAACCAAACTTAGAAAGCACATAGCTACTATGTCTACAGTTCTCAATATGAAAGAGAATGAGATGGACATACTTGCCAACTTCCTCGGCCATGACATTCGCATCCACAGACAATATTACAGACTACCAGAGGGGACACTGGAGCTGGCCAAAATCAGCAAAGTGTTGATGGCCATGGAGCAGGGAAGAGTGACGGAATTCAAAGGAAAGAGCCTCGACCAGATACAAATTGAGCCTGAAGGTAATTCTTGATATTATTAAAATATGTATAATTTTTTTCCCCTAAAGGCCACTTGTATTTTTATTTTCTGTGCGACAGGGAGAGCAGTAGAGATCCTCTCACAAACGGACGGGCTAAAAGAAACTTCAAGCGGAGAACCTTCAACCATTCATCCAGATGCACCCCATGGTAGTGGCAGTGCCCCTTCTGGTAAGTGTACCAGGTGGGGGATTACAGCCAGGCTGCTTGGTCCTAACCCTGGGAGTGTATATTGCTAATATATTTTTATTTCTCTCCCTCGAACGTTAGAGAAAGCCATGGTCTGCATCTGAGGTGAAGGCTGTGGAGAAGACCATGACACCTTTCATACAGACTGGAAAGGTCCCTGGGAAGTCTCAATGCCTGGCCTGGCCTGGCCTGGCCTGCATTAATGCCTCACCAGATGACCTTAGACATCGGACATGGAGTGGCATTAAATTCTATGTCAAAAATAGAATCACTGCAATTCGAAAACAAAATCTAAAATAAAATTCCTTTAAAATAGTTGTTTGGTTTCTATTGACTGTTTTGTATTACTTAAAGTCTTGGTAAAAAAAGATTATGTCTATGGGTCCCATTCTGAACGGCCCTGTCAAAGGGACCCACCAGGTAACAAAAACGTGTATGTGTGTGTGTGTGTGTGTCTCTCTCTCTCTGTGTGTTTGTGTGTGTCTCTCTCTCTGTGTGTGTGTGTGTGTGTGTGTGTGTCTCTCTCTCTCTCTGTGTGTTTGTGTGTGTCTCTCTCTCTGTGTGTGTGTGTCTCTCTGTGTCTGTATCTCTGTGTGTCTCTCTCTCTCTCTGTGTGTGTCTGTGTCTCTCTCTGTGTGTGTCTGTGTCTCTCTGTGTGTGTGTGTGTGTGTCTCTCTCTCTGTGTCTCTGTGTGTGTCTCTCTCTGTGTGTGTCTGTGTGTGTGTGTGTGTCTCTCTCTCTCTGTGTCTCTCTCTGTGTGTGTCTGTGTGTGTGTGTGTGTCTCTCTCTCTCTGTGTCTCTTTCTGTGTGTGTGTGTGTCTGTGTGTGTGTGTGTGCGTGTGTGACTCTCTGTGTGTGTGTGTCTCTCTCTGTGTGTGTCTCTCTCTCTCTGTGTCTCTGTGTGTGTGTGTGTCTCTCTGTGTGTGTGTGTGTGTGTGTATGTGTGTAGTTGGAGCCCAAAAAGCTTTCTCTCTCTCTTTGTTTTTCAAAAGGAGCGTCTGTTTTGTGTAAATATAAGTTTAAATATTCAGTGGGAGGAGACGCACACTTTGGTTTCATGTTTATCCAGTGTTTCAGACTAAAAGGTTCTGTTGTATCGCTCTGTGTTTGTGAAGACTATAGCTCTGTCTTTGATCAAAATAATAATAATAATATTGTTGGTTTTAAACAGTGTTTTTGGAGCATTCTTCATTCTCCACAAACTCTAATAAACCACTTCTTCTTCTTTGATAAATGAACTGCTCCAAAGGAAAAGGTCAGTGGTCAGAGGACTGTGTAGCCTGGACTCACCTGGTCTTACCTGGACTCAGCTGGTCTTACCTGGACTCAGCTGGTCTTACCTGGACTCACCTGGTCTTACCTGGTCTTACCACACCATGGTACTCATTTCACTTCATACTAAGGTCTGGATGTGCTCCATTGACTCCGGCAACAGGTGGGAGGGGCTAACTCCTTTGATTGAAACAATTGGATCTGAGTTTACATTCACAAATGTGAATGTAACGTACGTCATACATACGTCATACATACGTACATACGTCACAGTAAACTGTGACGTATGTAATGAGCCAGAGTGAGTGAGGTATTTAGCATTTAGCCTAGCTTTAGCCTTTAGCCTAGCTTTAGCATTTAGCCTAGCCTTAGCCTTTAGCCTAGCTTTAGCATTTAGCCTAGCTTTAGCATTTAGCTTTGCTTCAATTACATTTGTTAAACATTCCTCTTGCTTCAGTTTCTTGATATTTGGATTGAACCAGAACAGATTATTTTACATTGCATTGTCTGATGCCACATGTACCTATGTCTGATGCCACATGTACCTATGTCTGATGCCACATGTACCTATGTCTGATGCCACCTGTACCTATGTCTGATGCCACATGTACCTATGTCTGATGCCACATGTACCTATGTCTGATGCCACCTGTACCTATGTCTGATGCCACCTGTACCTATGTCCCGGAGGATTATCAGAGGCAGACAGGGAATGATCCTCAGACAAAGGGCCAGCTCTGAGCCCTGTGCTCCTCAGAGTCCCAGCAGGAGGCCAGTCCCTGTGCTCCTCAGAGTCCCAGCAGGAGGCCAGTCCCTGTGCTCCTCAGAGTGCCAGCAGGACTCCAGTCCCTGTGCTCCTCAGAGTCCCAGCAGGAGGCCAGTCCCTGTGCTCCTCAGAGTCCCAGCAGGAGGCCAGTCCCTGTGCTCCTCAGAGTCCCAGCAGGAGGCCAGTGCCTGTGCTCCTCAGAGTGCCAGCAGGACTCCAGTCCCTGTGCTCCTCAGAGTCCCAGCAGGAGGCCAGTCCCTGTGCTTCTCAGAGAAGTAAGTCATGTTTATTTGAATCTACAGTGTTTCTGTCTCGGATGGATCTGGGTCTTCATGAACTTTATCTTTAACCAAACTGTTTCCATGGATACGGATACTTCACATTTCCTCAACAGTGAAAACTCAGAAGAATCCATCAGGACGAGCTCAACACACACGACAGCTCACACAAAACACCTCGTCACCGCCGCTCTCTCACCGGGTCCTCTCTCACCGGGTCCTCTCTCACCGGGTCCTCTCTCACCGGGTCCTCTCTCACCGGGTCCTCTCTCACCGGGTTCTCTCTCTCGTGTCTCTGTGGTGTTTGGATGAGACAGATCCAGAATCCAGACTCAACAGAAGAGGAGGCTCTGACACGAAGAGGCCGAGGATGAGTTGATTAAAAACCTCAGGGGCCTCTCAACGGGAACCAATACAAGGACGAAGAGGAGAGGAGGAAGAGGAGAGGAGGAAGAGGAGAGGATGAAGAGGAGAGGATGAAGAGGAGAGGAGGAAGAGGAGAGGAGGAAGAGGAGAGGATGAAGAGGAGAGGATGAAGAGGAGAGGAGGAAGAGGAGAGGAGGAAGAGGAGAGGAGGAAGAGGAGAGGATGGACCACAGACTGTATGTCAGGAGTGGACTGGCAGAGTGTGACATCACCAGTGTTTGCCTTAATGCAGAAGAAGGACATGAGTAAGCTGGAGCCCATTTCTTTATATGGGTATTCTTCTTGCTAAGACGTTTACTAACGTTTGCTAACGTTTGCTAACGTTTGCTAATGCTAGATCCCATTTAGGGAGAATCAATGAGTCACTCCCAGTGGGGGCGGGTCCCGGCTCAAAAGTGGCCAAAATGAGGTGCGCTGACATGCTGCAATACCACCCTGGGCCTGTGGGGGTGGACCCAGAAGAAGAATTAGCCAATGCTAACATATAGCATCTTCTTACCTCTCGAAAACGTCTTTACAGGATGGTCCAAAAGTTGTCTCTTGGCCCAAAGCTCTGTCCCACATGTGTGTCAATGCTGAGGGGGGTGTTCTGGACCAGTCTAGTTTACTTGCTGTGAATTTTTGAAGTCTCTTGTTCAAATGAATGGAGCTGTGCCGGCTGACACATGCGCAGATGCGTTTTTCTAGGGCTGTCAAACGATTAATTTTTTTAATCAAGTTAATTACAGCTTAAAAATGTATTAATCGTAATTAATCACATTTCAAACTATTGGCAAAATTATGCCATATTTTTCTGTAAATTGTTGTTTGAATGGAAAGATAAATGACAGCTTAGTGAACAACTGTGTTTGTTATAACAATAAATCCATATAAAATGAAATTAACATTATTAACATTCTGTCTTTCTGTTTAGACTCAGACCAAAACCATTGTCTGTTACAGATGAGGGACATTTCAAAATAGTCTGAAGCAGAATGTCATTAAATCTGTTGCTCACACCATTACTTTTTTGGCACAACTAACATGAACTGGTAGTCGAATGGAAAATTAGGTACCTCAGCTTTAATTTAGCGAGTGCGCTTTGGGAGAAGACACGGAGGAGACTGAGGCTCCGCAGTCCAGCTTCAGCGCTGTACATATTGTGTGCATCGGTTACGCAAAGACACGTACGCACACTAGAGAATAGTTCTGTAATAGTTCTGTGCGTGGTCTTGGATGTGATCCCATTACGCAGCGCCGTTCGCCGTGATCACAGCCGCTGGAAGTGGTGCTGTCCAGAGCGCTGTGGCGCCCGCAGCTCATCATGCAGAGTTCATACAGGAAACAACAAGTGCCCCGCGGTCACGCGTGTATTCTTTCAAAACTTTAATTCCCAGAGGGCTCTGCTCTGTCCCCGTCTTACACACGCATGTGTCCGCGGCATTCTGAGTGTTATTATGGGACGCATGGGCATGCGTCAAATGCGTTAATTTTTTTAACGCCTTTAAAAAATCGATTGAATTTTTTTTATTAACGTGCGTTAACGCGATAATTTTGACAGCCCTAGTTTTTTCACCATTTTCTTGTGGGCGGGACCACTCGCGGCCATTTTGGATTGCTCCGGTAGAGCACATTTTTTTGCCCATTAGTTAGAACGGCGGAGATAGGCGTGACTCTGTCCATTAATATATACAGTCTATGGCAGACATGGGCATTCTAAGGCTTTTTAATACGGCCCGCAGACCGTGTCAGATTAAAAAATGTATACATATATATCAGTCATTCATTTCATCTTGTCCTGCAATGCCCACGTTTTCCCAATAGATGGCGCGCTGACCATTGGCGGGCCTTTTGGAGTGTCTATTTTTCCTCTTTATTTCCCTTTATCTTTCCGTTGCCATTCAAGTACTTCTGTAAAAATGAGCGGGCCAAAGAAAAGGAAAGTGGACGTTGAATGCCGTGTGTTTAATAATGAGTGGACGACAAAATATTTTTTTACTGAAGTACGATCAACAGCTGTATGTTTGATATGCCAAGAAGCGGTTGCGGTGTTCAAAGAATATAATATCAGCCGTCACTTCACCACGAAACACGCAGACTACTGCAAAGAGGCTCGGCAGCTGAGCTACAGGCTCGGCAGCATCTCTTTCACAGACAAACTGCAATTCAAGAAGCAAGTACCAAGGCAAGTTTCTTGCTGGCATTCAAGTTGGTGAAGGCTAGTAAGCCTTTTTCCGAAGGCGAATTTTTGAAAGAATGCATGGTCGAGGCCGCAGGTCTCCTGTGTCCGGAGAGCAAAGAGAAGTTTGAAAAAGTCAGTTTATCGCGCAGGACGATGACACGCCGTGTGGAACTGATTGATGAAGATATAGTGAGCGAGTTAGACAAAAAGGCCAGAAACTTCATTTTATTTTCAATAGCACTGGATGAAAGTACTGACATAAAGGACACTGCTCAGCTTCTTATTTTGATCCGAGGGATAAATGAGAGTTTTGAGATAACAGAGGAGCTTTTGAGCATGGAGTCGCTGAAGGGGAAAACGCGAGGAGAGGACTTGTATGAACAGGTGTCCGCTGTCATCGAGAGAAGGAATCTACCGTGGAGTAAACTGGCGTCACCACGGATGGATCGCCAAATTTAACTGGAAAAAACGTCGGGCTGCTTAAAAGAATTCAGGATAAAGTGAAAGAGGAAAACCCTGCGCAGAATGTTGTTTTCCTTCACTGCATCATTCACCAGGAGTCTCTGTGTAAGTCTATATTGCAGCTTAATCATGTCGTGGATCCAGTTGTTAAACTTGTAAATTTCATACGTGCAAGAGGCCTTAATCATCGTCAGTTCGTTACGTTCTTAGAGGAAACCGATGCGGCTCATCAGGAACTACTTTACCACTCCCGTGTCCGCTGGTTAAGTTTGGGGAAAGTGTTGCAACGCGTGTGGGAGCTCAAAGAGGAGATAAGCTCGTTTTTGGAGTTAAAGGAAAAATCCGAAGAATTTCCCGAGCTGATCGACGAGAACTGGCTTTGTGACTTTGCGTTTGCTGTGGACATTTTCTCACACTTGAATGAGCTGAACGTGAAGCTACAGGGGAAAGATCAGTTTGTACATAACCTGTACACAAATGTGACAGCCTTCCAATCCAAGCTGATTTTATTCTCCAGACAAATATCAAATAAATCTTTCACTCATTTCCCGACACTAGCCACGCAGAAAGAGGCCACCCGAAACACGAAGAAATACTGCAAATCACTGGATGACCTGCAGAGAGAATTCTGCCGTAGGTTCACTCCAGCTGGTGTCCTGTCCCCAGCTGGTGTCCTGTCCCCAGCTGGTGTCCTGTCCCCAGCTGGTGTCCTGTCACAAGACCCTGACACCGCACCGCAGGAGCTGCACTTGGAACTGATCGATCTTCAGTCCGACTCTGCCTCCAAGGAGAACTTCAAGTCTCTTAAACTGACTGACTTTTACGCTTCACTTAACAAAGCCACGTTTCCAAACCTGCGGAGATTGGCACAGGAGATGATAGTGTTGTTTGGCTCAACATACGTGTGTGAGCAGACGTTCAGCGTCATGAACATCAACAAAGCTCGTCACAGATCCAAGTTAACGAACCAACATCTCAGATCTATCTTGAGAATTGCCACAACAAAACTAGCCCCAGACTTTGATGCACTGGCTAAGAAGGGAGACCAACAACACTGTTCCCACTGAATGTGGTGAGTTTTTCTACTGTGTCATGACAGAAAATACATTTGGAAAGGTTGAAATTGCGTGTTTTGATTAAGTTGGCATTAAAAAAAGAGTTGGGTAATTATATGTTTGATTAAGATTAAGAGATCACTTTATTTGTCCCACAGTGAGGATATGTCGATGTTGCATCACAAGTGTGAAGGTTAAAAGTAATATAATTCATGTTATTTCAATAAATGTTGATTTCTTTAACTTTACGCCTTTAATTGTATTTAAATCAAATGCAATCTCCAGGTTTGATAGATCGGAGTATATTTTAATCTATTTACATTGTCTCCTCCCAGTATGGTGTCCAATAGTGTGTAAATGCAGTATCTTGCATAGTCATCAAGACAAATGTATTACCAGGATCAGGACTATTTTGCACATTTGAAAGATGCAGTGCTCAATGTTAGTGCATTTATTGAAGTTTTTTTGCATGTGCTTACTGTGCTATAAGGTTTGCACTCTACATGTAGCGATTTAGTATTAACGCTATCCAAACGCTACTGAACCGGCCCCCCTGTAAAAAAAAAAATTACCCAATGTGGCCCACAAGCCAAAAAGTATGCCCACCCCTGGTCTATGGTCACTCCTCTATTGGAGGCACTTTTCTGTTGAGGGCACTCATCACTCAAGTGCCCTCAGAATTAGGCCGGGCCCGAAGTAGGAAGTAGTGTAGATGGTGAAGAGGAACGGTGACAGGACAGTGCCCTGAGGGACCCCAGTACCTCAGTCCCCCCCCCCCGCCTGCCTCAGGGTGGCTCCTAATGCGTCCGTAATACCTCTCAGCCCAGCCCCCCTCACCTCCTCCCCCCGTGGGCTCAGGCGGTGGTCGGACAGGGCAATAAGCAGCAGAGTAAACATGATGGATGTGGCGGGAGGGGCTGAGCCGAGTTATGAAGCCTGCACCGTTATTACCATTGATCCGGACAGAGCCGCGTCCGAGGCCCGCAAGGCCCGGGGGAGACGATGGAGAAGGCCCCCCCCCCCCCCCCCCAACTCAGGGACCAGCACGCACAGGGACCAGCACAACACAGGGACCAGCACAACACAGGGACTAGGAGAACACACGGACAAGCACGCACAGGGACCAGCACAACACAGGGACCAGCACAGCACTGGTCTCTCTCTGGTCTTTCTCTCTGGTCTCTCTTGTCTCTCTTTCTGGTCTCTCGCTAGTCCCTCTCTCTGGTCTCTCTCTCTCTCTGGTCTCTGGCCTCTTTCGAGTGGACGGGGGGCTCTCTCTCTCTCTCTGCACGTCAAGTGGACGGGGGGCTCTCTCTCTCTCTGCACCTCGAGTGGAGAGGGGGTTCTCCTTCTGATGAGCAGCTGTAATTAACACCTGATAAAGACTGCAATCGACCAATCAGAACGCAGCATCTGCTCTTGGACCAAAGTGTTGATGAGAGAGATTTAAAATAGTCTCGTTATAATCTTCATGTAATAATCGTTTGTATTAATATGCTCTGGTCTCTCTCTGGTCTCGCTCTGGTCTCGCTCTGCAGTTCATCAGAGCGGGAGTTCTCTCTGCGACAGCCAGAGGAGCAGAGTTTGTGGCACTAAAGTGTGGATTTAAACAAAATCGAAGGATTTAAGAAGAAAAAAAGTTCAGGATGACAAGGGACACTAAAATCCCCACAAAATCCGACCTTTATGAAAGCTGTAGGTTCTCTGTCAGGTTCTCTTTCAGGTTCTCTGTCAGGTTCTCTGTCAGCTGAGGTTGAGCTGTTTTAATATGCATTGAGTTCTATGGGGAAAATTTCTGGGTAGCCCACGTGAATTTAGTCTGGTTCAGTCTGCAGTACCGCGAGAATCCCCTGAGCACATGGTTATTCAGCTACAAGCTAGTAACACCCTATCCAGTTATTATAATACATCCATGGAAAGAACCAACATCATTCTTTAACAGCAGCTGCGAAAATGGAAAGTGCTTTGTGTGGTTTTACACGTAGCTAGTTAGCACACGTAGCTAGTTAGCACACGTAGCTAGTTAGCACACGTAGCTAGTTAGCACACGTAGCTAGTTAGCACACGTAGCTAGTTAGCACACGTAGCTAGTTAGCACACGTAGCTAGTTAGCACACGTCTAAACAGGGCCTTAGAAATACAGGTTCATACAACACATAAGCCAGGAGTAGCAGAGGTCCTCTCCAGGTCTCTCTCCTCTCCAGGTCCTGGTCCTCTGCTGGTCCCGGTCCTCTGCAGGTCCAGGTGCAGAGGTCCCGGTCCTCTCCAGGTCCAGGTGCAGAGGTCCCGGTCCTCTGCAGGTCCAGGTGCAGAGGTCCCGGTCCTCTCCAGGTCCAGGTGCAGAGGTCCCGGTCCTCTGCAGGTCCAGGTGCAGAGGTCCCGGTCCTCTGCAGGTCCAGGTGCAGAGGTCCCGGTCCTCTGCAGGTCCAGGTGCAGAGGTCCCGGTCCTCTGCAGGTCCAGGTGCAGAGGTCCCGGTCCTCTGCAGGTCCAGGTGCAGAGGTCCCGGTCCTCTGCAGGTCCAGGTGCAGAGGTCCCGGTCCTCTGCAGGTCCAGGTGCAGAGGTCCCGGTCCTCTGCAGGTCCAGGTGCAGAGGTCCCGGTCCTCTGCAGGTCCAGGTGCAGAGGTCCCAGAGAAGACCCTCTTTGCCGTAGGAGTGAATAAAAGCCTGAGGACAGCTCTGCTGTAACTCAGATGAAGTGATGATAATCGTGTGTTTCTTGCTCAAACAAAAGAGAGTGAGATAAAAACATTACCGTCGCTTTGAAGCTGACACCAACAAATGAAGCTTGTTTCCCCCACGGACTTCCTCAGAAAGCGTTCATTAGCTCTGGCTCCGGGCGCCACGTCGATAAACACATTCTCTACTGAGGAGACGGAAAAGAAACGGAATATCGATCACTAATAATGAAGAGAACACACGACCTGCTGCAATTAGAGAGAGAGAGAAAGATCCCTGGTTCTCTGGGGACTCATAGACTCTCTTCATGGTCTTCTTCTGGTCTCTCTCTGGTCTCTCTTTGGTCTTTTTCTGGTATTTTTCTGGTCTCAACATCATATAAGGACCTTTTATTGGAAGTGTTTAGTCTCTTGTAGAGGACTCGCTGGTCTTCCTGTAGTCCAGAGGGCTCCCTGGTCTTCCTGTAGTCCAGAGGGCTCCTGGTCTTCCTGAAGTCCTCAGTCATTTTTAAAGTCATAAAGGACTTTCTTCTAAAGGACCTCTTTAATATCGGTCTCACTGCGGTCTCACTGCGGTTTCACTGCGGTCTCGCTGCGGTCTCACTGCCACATTTATTATCATGTTCCTTCAGCTGCTTCATAAAGACATCAGTATAATGCACTCTTTTATGTACGGACTCAAACTCCCAGGATGCTTTGCTCTGTCATTGCCTCACTGATGCAGGAGAGAGAGGGAGAGAGAGAGAGAGAGAGAGAGAGAGAGAGAGAGGCATCTTTCATATCTGACTGTTTTGTCTCAGGACAGACTTTAAAAAGATGGTACATTCATTATAATAATTATAATGACAGTGTTGTTTATAAAGTGCTCTCTTGTGCCTGGACTCAATCTCCCAGAATGCTTTGCTCTGTCACTGATGCTGGGCCCAGAACAGTGTCTCAGGAACCCTCCAGGGGGCGCTCTGTCAAATAACCACTTCACCTGGACGTTTTTATTAGTTTTTGAAAGATCCAGATACATCCTGTTCTCTCGTCTTCTCTCTTGTCCTCTCTCTCGTCTTCTCTCTCGTCCTCTCTCTTGTCTTCTCTGTCGTCCTCTCTCGTCTTCTCTCTCGTTCTCTCTCGTCCTCTCTCTCGTCTTCTCTCTCGTCTTCTCTCTCGTCCTCTCTCTCGTCTTCTCTCTCGTCTTCTCTCTCGTCCTCTCTCTCGTTCTCTCTCGTCTTCTCTCTCGTCTTCTCTCATCCTCTCTCTCGTCTGCTCTCTCGTCCTCTCTCTCGTCTTCTCTCTCGTCCTCTCTTGTCTTCTCTGTCGTCCTCTCTCGTCTTCTCTCTCGTTCTCTCTCGTCCTCTCTCTCGTCTTCTCTCTCGTCTTCTCTCTCGTCCTCTCTCTCGTCTTCTCTCTCGTCTTCTCTCTCGTCTTCTCTCTCGTCCTCTCTCTCGTTCTCTCTCGTCTTCTCTCTCGTCTTCTCTCATCCTCTCTCGTCTGCTCTCTCATCCTCTCTCTCGTCTTCTCTCTCGTCCTCTCGTCTGCTCTCTCGTTCTCTCTCGTTCTCGCTCTCGTCCTCTCTCTCGTCTCTCTTGTCCTCTCTCTTGTCCTCTCGTCTTCTGTCTCGTCTTCTCTCTTGTCCTCTCTCTTGTTCTCTCTCGTCCTCTCTCTCGTCCTCTCTCGTCTTCTCTCTCGTCTTCTCTCATCCTCTCTCTCGTCTGCTCTCTCGTTCTCTCTCGTCCTCTCTCTCGTCTTCTCTCTCGTCCTCTCTCGTCTGCTCTCTCGTTCTCTCTCGTTCTCGCTCTCGTCCTCTCTCGTCTTCTCTCTTGTCCTCTCTCTCGTCCTCTCTCGTCTTCTGTCTCGTCTTCTCTCTTGTCCTCTCTCTCGTCCTCTCTCGTCTTCTGTCTCGTCTTCTCTCTTGTCCTCTCTCTCGTCCTCTCTCGTCTTCTGTCTCGTCTTCTCTCTCGTCTTCTCTCTCGTCCTCTCTCACGTCCTCTCTCTTCTCTCTCGTTTTCTCTCTCGTCCTCGTCTTCTCTCGTCCTCCCTCTCGCCTTCTCTCTCGTCCTCTCTCTCGTCTTCTCTCTCATCTTCTCTCTCGTCCTCTCTCGTCCTCTCGTCTTCTCTCTCGTCCTCTCTCTCGTTTTCTCTCTCGTTTTCTCTCTCGTCCTCTCTCGTCCTCTCTCTCGTCCTCTCGTCTTCTCTCTCGTCCTCTCTCTCGTCTTCTCTCTCGTCTTCTCTCTCGTCCTCTCTCTCGTCTTCTCTCGTCTTCTCTCTCGTTTTCTCTCTCGTCCTCTCGTCTTCTCTCTCGTCTTCTCTCTCGTCCTCTCTCTCGTCCTCTCTCTCGTCCTCTCTCGTCCTCTCGTCTTCTCTCTCGTCCTCTCTCTCGTCCTCTCTCGTTTTCTCTCTCGTCCTCGTCTTCTCTCGTCCTCCCTCTCGCCTTCTCTCTCGTCTTCTCTCTCGTCCTCGTCTTCTCTCTCGTTCTCTCTCTCGTTTTCTCTCTCGTCCTCGTCCTCTCTCTCGTCCTCTCTCGTCCTCCCTCTCGCCTTCTCTCTTGTCTTCTCTCTCGTCCTCTCTCTCGTCTTCTCTCTCGTCCTCTCTCTCGTCCTCGTCTTCTCTCTCGTTCTCTCTCTCGTTTTCTCTCTCATCTTCTCTCTCGTCCTCCCTCTTGTCTTCTCTCTCGTCTTCTCTCTCGTCCTCTCTCTCGTCCTCTCTCTCGTCTTCTCTCTTGTCTTCTTTCTCGTTCTTTCTCATCCTCTCTCTCGTCTTCCTTTTCGTGTTCTCTCTCGTATTTGGCTGGTTATGGTGTGTTGATGGTTGTGGTGTGTTGATGGTTGTGGTGAGTTACAGCTCCACAGCGCCCCCTCTGGCCCCGTGTCATACTGGCAGCTCCACAGCGCCCCCTCTGGCCTGGTGTCGTACTGGCAGCTCCACAGCGCCCCCTCTGGCCTGGTGTCGTACTGGCAGCTCCACAGCGCCCCCACTGGCCCGGTGTCGTACTGGCAGCTCCACAGCGCCCCCTCTGGCCTGGTGTCGTACTGGCAGCTCCACAGCGCCCCCTCTGGCCTGGTGTCGTACTGGCAGCTCCACAGCGCCCCCTCTGGCCTGGTGTCGTACTGGCAGCTCCACAGCGCCCCCTCTGGCCTGGTGTCGTACTGGCAGCTACACAGCGCCCCCTCTGGCCTGGTGTCGTACTGGCAGCTCCACAGCGCCCCCTCTGGCCTGGTGTCGTACTGGCAGCTCCACAGCGCCCCCTCTGGCCTGGTGTCGTACTGGCAGCTCCACAGCGCCCCCTCTGGCCTGGTGTCGTACTGGCAGCTACACAGCGCCCCCTCTGGCCTGGTGTCGTACTGGCAGCTCCACAGCGCCCCCTCTGGCCTGGTGTCGTACTGGCAGCTCCACAGCGCCCCCTCTGGCCTGGTGTCGTACTGGCAGCTACACAGCGCCCCCTCTGGCCTGGTGTCGTACTGGCAGCTCCACAGCGCCCCCTCTGGCCTGGTGTCGTACTGGCAGCTCCACAGCGCCCCCTCTGTCCTGGTGTTGTACTGGCAGCTACACAGCGCCCCCTCTGGCCTGGTGTCGTACTGGCAGAATCTGATCCAAAACTATTAGTTGTATTTTTATTTTATATTGCACTTAAAAAGATTATTGTGTGTGTGTGTGTGTGTGTGTGTGTGTGTGTGTGTGTGTGTGTGTGTGTGTCTATCTGTGTGTGTGTGTGTGTGTGTGTGTGTTTATCTGCTTGTGTGTGTGTCTGCTGCACACTGCCTCCTCTGGTTTTACATTCAGAGCGTGTCTGTGTGAGGATACAGCTGAGGACGATAATGGACCTGACTCACTCATGTCCACAAGCAAAGGTCTCTCTCTGGTCTCTATCTGGCCTCTCTCCGGTCTCTCTCTCTCTGGTCTCTCTCTCTGGTCTCTCTCTCTGGTCTCTCTCTCTGGTCTCTCTCTGATCTCTCTCTCTGGTCTCTCTCTGGTCTCTCTCTGGTCTCTCTCTGGTCTCTCTCTGGTCTCTCTCTGGTCTCTCTCTCTGGTCTCTCTCTCTGGTCTCTCTCTCTGGTCTCTCTCTGATCTCTCTCTCTGGTCTCTCTCTGGTCTCTCTCTGGTCTCTCTCTGGTCTCTCTCTGGTCTCTCTCTCTGGTCTCTCTCTCTGGTCTCTCTGATCAGTTTAAATGAATGTTCAGAATAATCCTTTTTCCAAATCATTTACATTTAATCTGAGCCACGGACGAAGAGATAATCTGCAAGTAAACAAACACTGTGTGTGTGTCTATGTGTATGTGTGTGTTTGTGTGTGTCCTTGTTTATATTGTGTGTGTATCCAGATATGAACCGTAAAAGGATTGACCAATCAGAGGCCTCATTCAGGGGTAGACTTCTACTTGCCTTAGAAACTGTCCTAGCAACAGAGAGAGAGAGAGAGAGAGACCAGAGAGAGAGACCAAAGAGAGACCAGAGAGGGAGACCAGAGAGAGAGAACAGAGAGAGAGACCAAAGAGAGACCAGAGAGGGAGACCAGAGAGAGACCAGAGAGAGAGACCAAAGAGAGACCAGAGAGGGAGACCAGAGAGGGAGACCAGAGAGAGACCAGAGAGAGAGACCAAAGAGAGACCAGAGAGGGAGACCAGAGAGAGACCAGAGAGAGAGACCAGAGAGAGACCAGAGAGAGACCAGAGAGAGACCAGAGAGAGACCAGAGAGAGAGACCAGAGAGAGAGACCAGAGAGAGAGACCAGAGTAAGTAGTAGTAGTAATCTTTATTTATATACCGCCTTTTCACTGCAGATCTGAGTCTCAAAGCGGTTTACAATTGTTAATTTTGGGCATTTGTCTCTCACTCCAGACAGAGATGGGAGCGGGGCCAGTACAGGAGGCGCATGCCAGAACTATTGGACATATTTTTAGTGGTAGGGGAAACCGGAGTACCCGGAGGAAACCTACGCAGACACGGGGAGGACATGCAAACTCCACTCAGAAAGGCCATGGTCCAACCGGGATTCAAACCCATGACCTTCTTGCTGAGAGGCGAGAGTGCTATCCACTCAGCCACCGTGCCGCCCAGAGAGAGAGACCAAAGAGAGACCAGAGAGGGAGACCAGAGAGAGACCAGAGAGAGAGACCAGAGAGAGAGACCAGAGAGAGACCAGAGAGAGACCAGAGAGAGAGACCAGAGAGAGAGACCAGAGAGAGAGACCAGAGAGAGAGACCAGAGAGAGAGACCAGAGAGAGAGACCAGAGAGAGAGACCAGAGAGAGAGACCAGAGAGAGAGACCAGAGAGAGAGACCAGAGAGAGACCAGAGAGAGACCAGAGAGAGACCAGAGAGAGACCAGAGAGAGACCAGAGAGAGAGACCAGAGAGAGACCAGAGAGAGACCAGAGAGAGAGACCAGAGAGAGAGACCCAGAGAGAGAGAAGACCAGAGAGAGAGACCAGAGAGAGAGACCAGAGAGAGAGATCAGAGAGAGAGACCAGAGAGAGACCAGAGAGAGACCAGAGAGAGAGACCAGAGAGAGTCTCTGTTGTCTGTGGGAGGGGCTGAGGTGGAGGTGGTGCAGGAATCTGGAACAAAAGTCTGAGAAGAAGAGATTGTATTGTTCCAGTGCAGTCCAGCTGAAACGAGAGACCAGAGCGAGACCGGAGAGAAACCGGAGAGAGACTGGAGAGAGACCAGGGAGAGACCCGAGAGAGACCCGAGAGAGACCAGAGAGAGACCAGAGAGAGACTAGAGAGAGACTAGAGAGAGACTAGAGAGAGACTAGAGAGAGACAAGGAAGAGACCAGAGCGAGACCACAGACAGACCCAGGTCCCAGCCACACTTGTCTGCACTTGTTGGATCAGGTTTCAGGGAGAGTCCAGGTAAGACCTCTGTGTTCGGGCCAAAGTCTTGTTCTGAGACAAAACTATGTCATGTTTTTACTGTTGTGTCATGTTTCACTTGAGACCCTCGGGACTCAGAGCCTTCTTAAAGCCAGGGTATGTAACTTTCAAAGCCCAACAACAGACCTCTCTGATAAAATATGTATATGTGGGCTATCTGTAGCCTCTCTCTGGTGTCTCTCTGGTCTCTCTCTGTGGTCTCTCTCTCTGGTCTCTCTCTGGTCTCTCTCTCTGGTTTCTCTCTGGTGTCTATCTGGTCTCTCTCTCTGGTCTCTCTCTCTGGTCTCTCTCTGGTCTCTCTCTCTGGTCTCTCTCTCTGGTCTCTCTCTCTGGTTTCTCTCTGGTCTCTCTCTGGTCTCTCTCTCTGGTTTCTCTCTGGTCTCTCTCTGGTCTCTCTCTGGTCTCTCTCTCTGGTCTCTCTCTGGTCTCTCTCTGGTCTCTCTCTCTGGTCCCTCTCTGGTCTCTCTCTCTGATCTCTCTCTCTGGTCTCTCTCTGGTCTCTCTCTCTGGTCTTTATCTCTGGTCCCTCTCTGGTCTCTCTCTGGTCTCCCTCTCTGGTCTCTCTCTCTGGTCTCTCTCTAGTCTCTCTCTAGTCTCTCTGTGGTCTCTCTCTGGTGTCTCTCTCTGATCTCTCTCTCTGGTCTCTCTCTGGTCTCTCTCTCTGGTCTTTATCTCTGGTCCCTCTCTGGTCTCTCTCTCTGGTCTCTCTCTGGTCTCTCTCTAGTCTCTCTGTGGTCTCTCTCTGGTCTCTCTCTCTGGTTTCTCTCTGGTCTCTCTCTCTCGTCTCTCTCTAGTCTCTCTCTGGTCTCTCTCTAGCCTCCCTTTGGTCTCTCTCTGGTCCCTCTCTGGTCTCTCTCTGGTCTCTCTCTGGTGTCTCTCTGGTCTCTCTCTGGTCTCTCTCTAGTCTCTCTTTGGTCTCTCTTTGGTCTCTCTCTGGTCTCTCTAGTCTCTGGTCTCTCGCTGGTCTCTCTCTGGTCTCCCTCTAGTCTCCCTCTAGTCTCCCTCTGGTCTCCTTCTAGTCTCTGCGCCTGTCCTTATCTGCTGCAGTCTCCTCCTCTCGTCTCCTTTAATTAACTCATAAATCAAAGTGAGTGTCGGTCTCGCTCCTCGGTCTCGCTCCTGTCTCCTGTTCTCTTCAAACACCACTATCTCCACCAAAGTGAAAGTAAACCCAGCGATGCATTTTAAACACATTTTAACTTTAACCCTTCGCCGTTTCTGACTCGGAAACGTACAGTTTTAGTTCCACTCGAAACAGAAGGAGTCACAGTAAAATCTCAGTCTGTGTGAAACCCGCTGCTTAAAGATACACATTGTTGTCAGAATAATGAGAGTAATTTTGTAATTTCCTGTTTTAAAATATGAATTTTTTTAAATAGAATAATAACTGTAGCAAGGGTTACAAATGCTTTCCGCCTGTAACTCCCCCTGCTGCCACCAGAGGGAGCAACACACACTCTGATTGTAAAGTAGTGATTTTGGGCCGATACCAATGTTTTTTCTTATTGTTATTTACGGAAACTTACAAGTCTTTCAGCTCTTCATCACTGCCCTTGAGTAAGAACCAAATCAATCTGACCAATTTATGAACCAGAAACAAACACCCTCTTCTGGTGTCTCTTCGCACGCGCTACCATCGGCCAAAGTTATTTTTATTTATCTATGGTTGATGGTAGTTACCAAGGCAGACATCAGTGCATATTGTAAAGAAGTAATTTATGGGCAAAACTTTTGTATTTGGTCTCTCTCTCTCTGGTCTCTCTCTGGTCTCTCTCTGGTCTCTCTCTCTGGTCTCTCTCTGGTCTTTCTCTGGTCTTTCTCTGGTCTCTCTCTCTGGTCTCTCTCTGGTCTCTCTCTCTGGTCTCTCTCTCTGGTCTCTCTCTCTGGTCTCTCTCTGGTCTCTCTCTCTGGTCTTTTTCTGGTCTCTCTCTGGTCTTTCTCTCTGGTCTCTCTCTCTGGTCTCTCTCTCTGGTCTCTCTCTCTGGTCCCTTTCAGATCTCTCTCTGGTCTCTCTCTGGTCCCTCTCTGGTCTCTCTCTGGTCTCTCTCTGGTCTCTCTCTGGTCTCTCTCTGGTCTCTCGTTTCAATATATGTCAATTAGGAGCTAGAGCAAGTTGGAGCTAAACTTCACCATGAGCACTTCCCTAAAAGGCTACATTGAACTAGCCGTTAGCATTGTCCACCTGTGTACAGTCTATGGTCCGGTCGTGAAGTCGTTGATGGTATAATCCTGGTTTGTTTGTTGTGTTTTGCAGAAGATGCAGAGGACCGCAGCAGCTCTGAGTCCGACCTGAGCCTCCTCCACAAAGACTGCGTTTCCCATGATGCACCTGGTGTGGTGCCGCGGCCGCCTCAAACTGCTGCTGGCCTCCATCACCGCTCTGGGCCTTCTCACCTGGCTCTATCTGCTGGCTGGCACGCTGGACGGTTAGCTCTGCTGCTAAACCAACACACACACACACACACACACACAGACAGACCATCATAGAGGTGTGAAGTGGTTAGCTGTGATTCTAACAAGAGACCAGAGAGAGAACAGAGAGAGAGACCAGAGAGAGGACAGAGAGAGAGACCAGAGAGAAAACAGAGAGAGAGACCAGAGAGAGAGACCAGAGAGAGAGACCAGAGAGAGAGACCAGAGAGAGAGACCAGAGAGAGAGACCAGAGAGAAAACAGAGAGAGAGACCAGAGAGAGAGACCAGAGAGAAAACAGAGAGAGAGACCAGAGAGAGAGACCAGAGAGAGAGACCAGAGAGAGAGACCAGAGAGAGAGACCAGAGAGAGAGACCAGAGAGAGACCAGAGAGAGCGACCAGAGAGAGACCCTCTCTCCCTCAGACGATCACAGACACAGCATGGATGGATCTAAACACAACCCCAGGTCTGTCTTTGTGTCGTTCCTCACTGACAGATCTCCTTCTCTCTCTCTTTCTCTCTCTCTCCCACCCTCTCCCCCCTCCCTCTACAGGTGGTCGTACTCTGCTGGTCCCGCCCTGCCTCAGTCTAAGCCCCGCCCCCCAGCCGGACCGGGCCGCTCTGGAGTCTCGTGTGCGACAGGTGGAGGAGGAGAACCGAGTGATCCGCCTCCAGCTCAGCCAATCACAGGCCTCCGCTCAGAAGCTCAGCCAATCACAGGCCTCCGCTCAGCTGACGGGGGACGGAGCCCTGCAGTGGGGGGCCTCTGCCGACACGGGACCCGAGGACACGGACACCACCGAGGACCGCAACAACACCAACTGTCCCAAAGCGCCCCCTGTGGGCAAGTGCGAGGTAAGCACCCTGTCCACCAGGGACCAGAGAGAGACCAGAGGGAGGGAGAGAGACCAGAGAGAGACCAGAGGGAGACCAGAGGGAGAGAGAGAGAGACCAGAGGGAGAGAGACCAGAAGAGAGGGAGAGAGAGGGACTAGAGAGAGACCAGAATGAGAGAGAGACTAGAGAGAGAGTGACCAGAGAGAGAAAGAGAGGGAAAGAGGGACTAGAGTGAGAGAGACCAGAGTGGGGGGACAGGATGTCTCTCTCTCTGGTCTCTCTCTGGTCTCTCTCTGGTCTCTCTCTGGTCTCTCTCCGGTCTCTCCCGGGTCTCTCTCTGGTCTCTCTCTCTGGTCTCTCTCTGGTCTCTCTCCGGTCTCTCCCGGGTCTCTCTCTGGTCTCTCTCTCTGGTCTCTCTCTGGTCTCTCTCCGGTCTCTCCCGGGTCTCTCTCTGGTCTCTCTCTCAGGTCTCTCTCAGGTCTCTCTGGTCTCTAATGTAAAGATTTTAAAGCTGAGGTCCCTGACTTCTGTGTCTGCAGCTGATCCATGTGGCCTGTGTCTGCGCTGGACACAACGCCAGCAGAGACGTGGTCACTCTGGTCAAGTCCGTCCTGTTTCATAGGTACACACGCGTACATGCACACATACACACACACACACACACACACACACACACATATATATACACATCAGAATCAGAATCATTTTTATGGCCACGTAAGTAACAGGAGGTCACAGACTAGGAAATTGCTTTGGCTCAGTGCAACAGTCAAAAAGAGATAATAAAAATAAGAATAAAAAAACACTTCTAAAGAATAAATTTAAATTTAAAATAGAGTTACAGTTACTATTTACAATATACAAGTGCACATGGTGCACACAATGTAAGGTGACAGCAGTACAGTGAAGTAAAGTGACGTATGATGGGCAGTAAAGTGAGTTTATAAAGGGCGGGGGGACAGGTTAAGAAGTGTTCAAGAGTCCAACAGCAGAGGGGAAGAAACTGTTCTTGTGGCGGGAGGTTCTAGTCCTGATGGACCGCAGTCTCCTGCCTGAGGGGAGTGGTTGGAATAGTCCATGTGCAGGTGAGAGGGGTCGGCTGTGATACGACCAGCCCGGCCTCGAGCTCGGGCGACGTACAGGTCCTGCAGCGATGGAAGGCTGCGGCCGATCACTTCCTCTGCAGAGCGCACAATGCACTGTAGTCTCTGTTTGTCCCTGACTGTGGCTCCAGCGAACCACACGGTGACGGAGGAGGTGATGGAGGAGGTGATGGAGGAGGTGATGGAGGAGGTGATGGAGGAGGTGAGGATGGACTCGATGATGGCCGTGTAGAACTGTACCAACATCTGTGCAGGCAGCTTGGCTTTCCTGAGCTGCCGCAGGAAGTACATCCTCTGCTGGGCCTTCTTGATGAGGGAGCTGATGGTCGGCTCCCACTTGAGGTCCTGGGTGATGGTGGTGCCCAGGAAACGGAAGGACTCCACAGAGGTGATGGGGGAGTCCATCACGGAGGGTGGGGGTGGGGGGACAGTGCTCTTCCTGAAGTCCACAATCATCTCCACTGTCTTCTGGGCGTTCAGCTCCAGGTTGTTACCACTGCACCAGGACACCAGCCGGTCCACCTCCCTCCTGTAGGCGGACTCATCGTTGTTGGAGATGAGTCCAATGAGGGTGGTGTCGTCCGCGAACTTGATCAGCTTCACAGAGTCGTGGCTGGAGGTGCAGTGGTTGGTGTACAGGGAGAAGAGCAGGGGAGAAAGAACACAGTCCTGTGGGGCTCCTGTATTTATAATCCGAGAGTCCGAGACATTCTTCCCCAGACGCACTCGCTCCTTCCTGTCTGTCAGGAAGTCAGTGATCCACCTGCAGGTGGTGCAGGTGGAGCAGGTGGAATCGGGCACGTTGAGCTGGGAGAGCTTGTCCTGGAGCAGGATACTAAATAACTATCAGGGACCGTAATCGTTTTTGATCTTGAGAGCTACTTTTACAAAACAGAAATGTGTCTCTTTTATGGTTGCAATATAAATTTAGTCTATATGATAATGACGGCAAACTATGGAGAAACCTCACATGCATTATTCAACACAGAATATCCCCAAAGGACACTTAGAGACTTGACAACAACTGAGGTGAAAGGCCAAAACACATGACAAAGTTTAGTGGTTATTTTAAAGGATTTATTTATTTATTTCAGAGCTGTTGTGCCCATCAGACCTCCCACAGGCTGAAAGCTTGTTGAAGATCTGACAAACTGGAAACGCTACAGTTCATTCTAATGTCAAATATACCGGACACTACGACCTGTGCACGTGATGATACAGGACTCTCCACCGAGCAGAGACTGCTCACGAAGGAGACTTTCTCAACCCTGTGGATCAAACCTGTGCATCACTGCTATCCAGCCTGATTTGTGTGGATAAAGTTTGTGTTTTTCCTCGTCATGTGTATGTAGTCAGCCAACAAGACATGTCACTGTAGCACCGTCGCATGATCTCTGGCAAACAACTAGATTAGTATTAGCAAACTAATCTCTTTGTTTGCTATTTCTACAGGCTGTTATTCCTATTGCTCTTTTATATCATTCGGTTTATGCCTAAGTCTAGATTCCTGTTATAACAGCAGGTTTAATAGCGGTACCCTCTGTTATTGAGATCCACCATACTGTTGTGTGCATACTCTGTCCTGTATTTACCCCAAGAGGACAAAAACCTTGAACTTGGTGATTCAGACTCTCTTCTCCTCAAGTCCTCCAGTCTGTCTGCTTCCAACTTTAGGAAGCGTCTGGCTCTGTGCTCGACGTCCACATTGCTGGATCCAGGAGGTGACCCAGATCTCCAGTCCCCCTTATAAGAAGGCTCTTCATTGAACATTTTAGAGCTTTTTACGTCCGATCTTGAGGAACTCGTTTCAAACTCATTCATTCTGGTGCTCAGCGTGTTGTGCTGTCTCTGCAGCTGGTCCAGCTTCGTCACCAGGTTCTCTCTCTCCTGGTGACAAGTTCTCAGCTCGTCGTTGCTCTTCTTCAGCAGGTCTAAGGAAACGTCACATTGACAGCCTGATACGTACAGCTGACGTTTCTCCTCCTGGTCTCTTTTCGCCTCCTCCTTACACACTTGACTTGGAGGAGACTTCATATTTCTCTCTTCTGCCTTGTCTTCTCCTTCTAAATAACTCATTCTTTTAGTCAATCTCTCCGCTCTAGTCTTGAGCGCGGCTTCTTGGCTCTCCAGTTGGTCACGTCTCACTTCCAGCTCACTTGACAGCGTCTTCAGCTCCAACATTTTGTCTGAATTTTCCCGTTTCCTTTTCAGAACTTCTGCCTCGTGCTCAAAGTCCAGTTTCTGCAGACTGAGTGCTAGACACTCCTCTCGCTGCTCCTTCTCTTGGTTGAAGCGAGAAAGAAGCTGCTCCTTCAGAAGAATCTTGTCCTCAGAGTGTTTCTCCCTGATTATTCTGATCTCTTTCTCATGATCTTCGCTCATCCGTTCCAATGTACGTTTCTGCTCCTGCTCCACTTCCTGACGTACAAATCTAAAAGACTTTGTGGTGTCTCTGTGAAAGTCATGCTCTCTGCTTTCTTGCATTAACGAGTCCTGTCTTTTGGCTTTCATTTTCTGCAACTTTTCTTTCTCTTCGGTCAACTCCACCTCTAACTCAGCCTGCAGTTGCTCCAATCTTTTCCTATTACGAGCCTTGAGTTTCTGGACAGTTTTGGCCTGTTCATCTTTCAATTCAGATTTCAGCCTCTCAAGTATAGCCTCATTTTCTTGCCGTATTTCATCCTCTTGCCGTTTGCGATCGGTTTTGAGGGTCTCTTGAAGTTCTTTTAATTGTTTTGCCGATTCTTCCTTCATTCTTTTCTCTTCTGCTTGGCTTTTTTCCAACAGCGACTGACTCAGAGACAAAAGTCTGTCTTTGCTTTCGGCCTCCAGGCATTTCTCCTCGTCCCTTTCCCATTTCTCCAGATCATCCCGAAACTTCTTTGATGCTTTTGATTTCACTGGAGATTTGGCTTTAGGTGCAGATTTGTAAGCGTGAGATGGCAAATTACTTTCAAACATGGACTCAGCACTTAAGTCCGACTGAATCTCATCTACCAACAATACTAAAGGATTTTGTGAAGGTGGCATTGGACTGAGTCTTGAAGGACTCTGATAATCTAGCCCCAACTCTGAGCTGTCTTCATAACCTTCATTACCTCCTGATTTGAGGTTCATCCATTTTTCTGAGTCTTCACTGCTTTGGTTCAGAGAAACGCTCAAAAAGTCTAAATCGGCCTCATCATTCGTCTCTTCATATTGTGGAGAAGAGGCCAGATACATTTTTTCTGTGGCTGATCTATCATCGGTTTTAACCTCATCGTGTAGAACATTGGTAAGATCTGCAACATCAAAATCAAGCTTCATGGATTTCAGAAGGTCCAATCCATCGTCTTCACTCTTCTCTTCTCTCTTGACCGTACTTTTTTGAGATGATATGGGTCTAACTTTTAGAAAAGAGCGAGGCCTATTCTCTGGTTTTGAGGTTTCCATATCAAACCCTTTTTCTTCCTTCTTCATTGGAGCAAAGATAATCTTTTTGTCTTTCTTCTTTTGTTTGACGACTTTCTCCTGTACAAATGAAGGCAGTGGGAGAAGAAGATTACGTCTGACCGGAAAACGTTCCTCTAACTTCACATCATTCTCAGACACAGATATTGGTCTAAGTTTTTGGAAGGTGAGCCCATTCACAGCATTATTCTTTCCAAAAATATCTTTTGTGGTTTCCTTTTGTGCTCTCTGCAGGTTTTCCTCCTTCTCCATTGGAGCAAACGATGCATCCTTTTTCTTACTTTTCCGTTTGCCTACTTCTGGTAAGTTTTTGCTCGCTTGGCGCTGAAGACCCTGGAAGTTGGTGTCCAGTGGAGTCAGTGGTGCAAGCCGATTGGATTTGATTGGAGGCAGTTTTTGTAGGCTCCCTGGTTTTGGGAGGCTTAAAACAGAAGTCTCATTAGACATCATGCTAATAGCTACAGTTACTTACTGTATATATAATAAAGTTAGACTTTGATTTTTTCTGTCTGAGTTTGGTTTGATGAATGTCTGGTCCGATGTGCTCTTAACAAAGTCTGTTTGGCTCAAAGGTTCTATTCTATGATGTAAAGATTCTGAGAATTCCAAGTAGTCCTGGCAACCGTTGCTATGGTTACCTATGCCAATAATGTTGATGATGGAGAATTGTATAGTGTTGGAGAGTTTATTGTCATTTAAAGCTGCACTAACTGACTTTATTTTTGTATTCATTACGAAAATGCTATCCATGTCCATGTAGTGCATTGGGATATACATCATTTTGAAGAAAAAGTAGCGCAGATTTGTGCTGGCGTGACATTATATTTTAGATCGAGTTTTGATGAAACAAGGAAGAGAATGTGTTTCGGGTCGCGGATTGTGACCAATAGCAGCGCACCACTGGCCCCCACTTTCGTGAGAAATCTACAGGTCCGTTAGCATAGACGGCTGAGTTAGCACAACAAGCCGAGGAGCTAACCTGAAACTTCGTGTGTCTTCGTCATCGGTTACTGCTTACACAGCGAGACAGCCATCCAAAAGAAAGTCCCGTTCCTCCGCTCTTCCCGGTTCTATCGTTTTATGGTCACGCCATCCACGTGCAAATCCATGTCCATGTATTATCCATATTGGGAGACGCTAACTCCGTCCCAACAGTGGGTGTGTGTGGGGGGCGATAGCTTCGTGGGTGCGGGGAGGGGAGCAGAAAGAGAGAGGCCAGAGAGTCCACGGCTTCAAAATCCCAAAGTCAGTTAGTGCAGCTTTAAATACATATATTTGATTCAGATTCAGTTTATTTGCCATTTGCAGTAAAAACACCACATTGAAATACATTAGCAAAAGTCTCCAGTGTGCACAGACAAATACAGACATAAAAGAACATTAAAAGACAGAAATAAAAACAAATAAAACAGTAAACAAATGTCACTGTGAAATTGATCGACTAAAACAGTTTCAAAACAAGTGCA